GATCTAGATCCTTTAAGGTGAATTTACTGGCATACCAGTTCAGTGGTTTGTACTCTAAATTAGTGTGATCCAAGTTAATATCTGTAACATAGATAGTCAAATGAAGGCACAATTCCATGAATTAAATAAACACCCTGAATTGATAGTACTGTATCAAAAGATCATTCAAGATCAATTTATAACTTGACTGTAGATTATACTAATGACTAAGCCAAGGCAAAAAAAAAATAAAAAAAAAACTACAGATTTATGCTGTACATATATATTACTGGTTTCTCATTAACCCTAAACCCTTTCAGGGTCTGTGCCGTAGTTCTACGGCTTTGAGTTGAGGGTCCAAACCGTAGATCTATGGCATGAAATCAGCTCACTCTGATAAGCTGTGAGTGGGAAATTTGGGCCTAGATATGAGAGAATACATCTATGTGGTATGTGTGCACCACATAAAAAAGATCCTGCAGCTCACAGTGCATAATGAGAGAAAAAACTGAGACCGTAATTTTCGATTAAAACAGCGACTTTGCAGTGTTTTTTCATATGTTTTTTATAGTTGTATATGCAATTTCTTGGTCTCATTTGATAGAATGGAAGATATGTTACAGAAATAGAGATCATTTTGATTGGTTTTGTTAACGGAAATGGCTTGAAACTGAGCTCAAATTAGCGGAAATGTTAAATTTTTGCTGATATTCAAGAGTAAACAAATGACCTCACATGTCTAATACACTCCAGCTGGTGGGTCTAATATACGTTCACAAATGTGGTGATATTATATATACAATTATTACAATATTGCACAACAGTAAATCTTCTATGTTTTGGTTTGAATAAAAATTCATTATGTAAATAAAAAATAAAAATGGAATTCATTTGTAAAGCCTGAAAACGTAACTAATGAACAGAGGAAATGTTAGATTAGTGCCAGGAATGCCTGCATTGTTTATTCTGGACCCTATTTTGAAATTGGAATATTTTGAACTTTGCGTTAAATTGGCCAAATTGCCATTTTCCGATCACTATTTTATAGTTGAAACAGTTGACTTGGCAATTTCTTGTGCTCAATCAACAGAATAGAAGTAATACTAGTGAAATAGCTAAGAATTTGGTCAACTGGAATAATGTAATTGGCCTAAAATGGAAGTCAGAGTCGGCAAAATTGCTGATGCGTGTATATCGCTGACATGTCAAAATACACGAGAGCATAATTTTGTCAATTTTCCATCAAATTTTGTACTTTTTGTTTTATTGCCTTCAGAAAAAGATTCTCTACCATTTCATAAGAAAAAATAACAAAATTATTTTTTGAAAATTCTTGGACCATGGTGCACACTTTGAAATTTGGCTTCTGGACCCTGAAAGGGTCAAACCTAGATCTATGTTCATGTGCGTAGCACTCCGAACATAGATCTACGCTTTTTTAACACTTGAATAATCATAGCAAACAGGTATTGCTTTACTTTAATTAAAATTCCTTTTATGTGATTGGAATTAAATTCAGCAATCAATGCCTGTCAATGCAATAATTCTTGTTGATTCACTGTCAACGTTATGTAATCATCATCTTTTCATGTTTTTGTAAGTTTAAAATGATCACTATTTGTTATATGTATATTTTATAACACACTGGTCATCTCCCACCAAGGAAGGGTGACCACAAAAAAGGAAAATCACTTTCATATCACATACTCCATCCTCATCTTGCCAGCTCTGATACCCCTCCAAACTACAATATCCCCATCCTCCTCCAGAGTGCAGGCACTGTACTTCCCACCTCCAGGACTCAAGTCTTGCAGGTGGGAAGTTCAGTGTAGAGTAGGAAATACAGTATACAACATTTTAAATAAAACAAAAAAAATTCTTGTTAAATATACTATGTACGGGTGACCCCTCAGAAACAATAACAGGTAGATGGTGATCTCCACATTACAAAAAACTTTGTCTAATGATCTACAGAGCTTTTTCAAATAGACTCATATTTCTAGCTGACAACACAAATAAGTAGCAAAAATTTTCCAAGCTGAAAAAGAAAAAATACCTGGAGGAAGAGAATAAACTGAGGGAAGCGCTGGACAGGCTTCACCATAAGTCCAAAGAATGACAGTCGATCAGGCGAGGTGATCTGACGCATCTGCAAGGGTTAATGTTCAATTGCTTATAAAAATAAATTGTAAAAACATTTACTCGAGAGTTTAATTCTCTTTATAACCATGTCCTATATGCAATTATATTATTCACACAAAAAAGTTAAATCTATATGGATCATTCAATGTTTCCCCTATAATCATGGCACATTAAAAAGGTAGAATTAGCGACTATGTTAGGTAAGAGGACACAACTTGTGCAACTAGTGCGACATTTTATTGTGGTAACATTTCGCTCTCCAGGAGCTTTGTCAAGCTGTTACAGATTGACAAAGCTCCTGGAGAGTGAAACGTTGCCACAATAAAGAGTTCCATTATTTGCATGTGTCCTTTTACCAAACATATAATCATGGCTTTTTTAACATATAATCATGGTTTCATGAAAACACACTTTTATACTGACTGCATGAAAACACACACTGCTGAATATTAAGTAAGCATTTACATATTAGTTACAATATATGCAATACAAAAATTATGTATGCAATTCATATCAGCACAGCTCTCAAAGAATACATTTTGGTACTGATTCAAATACTATACCTTCAGGAAATCAGCAAAAGCGGATTTCTTTTTGGATTCTTGCTTTGCAACTTCCATGGCACGTGCAAAGTTGTTGATAAAGTCGCTGTAAATATCCAAGACAATCGCCTTGGAGAAAGAAGCAACAAAGACATCTCCTATCTTCTCCTCTCGATCCCACTGTCGTACACACTCAGCCAGAGCAATACGGAATAATGTGTGGCACTGAAGAATCTCCGATAGTCTATGAAATAGTGTAGAAAGCTTGGCTGCATTAAGAATTGGTGGTTTCGAGTCTTCTATAGGTTTTTTGTAATCCTGAAATTGCAATAATATTTATTTTTCATATCTTGCATTTGGAGATATATACACTAAGTTTGTGACTGCACCTTCTAACAGTGAAAATGACACTGTAAAAAAAAGCAGGATTCAACAAAACAGACAATGTGCAATTACAATACTAAGACATACATATACAGAGGATGCAAAATAATGTGAAGAGAAAAATCAATAAATTTCTTGTAGTAACTTGATATTGCATTTTTTCTAAATTAACATATGTATCTGGTCAAAGATTTAACATGATCAGGCACAGAATATAGAAATACAAAATAAATTCAAGAGATAAGAATTACCCATACTTACATTGACTAGTCTCTGGAGAGTTGCTACATAATTGTTTTCACTATGAACTATAGATGCAACAATATGTCGTCTTTTAATCTGTTCTGGAGTGAGGCTTTGTGGCATGGGAGGCAGAGTTGGGGGCTGGTGTCTGCGCTGGAAGGTGTGTGCAAACACTCCCCCATTCTCAGAAAACAGCCCTCCATGCTCAGAGTCCCCCTCTTCCAAAAGCTTTGGCATCCTGTTGTTAGTATTGGCATTGGTACCATTACTGGTGGTGGTGTAGGAGCTGGTGCGTTCTGTATTAACAATGGTGCTGCTACGACGCTCCACATCATAATTGACACTCTTGCGCAAGGAAAACCATCTGTACAATTTATTGTCTGGTGTAGGTGGAGCATCTGTAAAGGAATTAAATACAGTAATTTAAACTGGTAAAAATTATGAAAGTACATAAAGAGAAAAAAGTCTCAATAATACTGTGGCCTGAACTTTCAAAAATAAATTGTACTTAGGGGAAGAAACCTACTATAAAAGTACAGTATGCGTAATTAAGATCCAGCCTCCAGCTTTCTCTCTGTTGCCACATTCACAACCCATGCCTCACACCCACTCTTGTATGGATGGTTTGTGAACGTTGCAACAAGGAAAAGGCTGGAGGCAGTGAAAATGTCATGTCTGAGGGCAATGTGTGGTGTGAACATAATGCAGAGACCTCATAGTTTAGAGATTAGGAGGAGGTGTAGAATTACTAAAACTGTTATCCAGAGGGCTGAGGAGGGGTTATTGAGATGGTCTGGACATGTAGAGAGGATGAAACGAAATAGAACGACTTCGAGAATATACAAATCTGAAGTGGAGGGAAGGCGGAGTAGGGGTCGGCCTAGGAAAGGTTGGAGGGAGGGGGTAAAGGAAGTTTTGTGTGTGAGGGGCTTGGACTTCCAGCAAGTGTCTGTGAGCATGTTAGACAGGAGCACATGGAGACAAATGGCTTTTAGGACTTGAAGTGCTGTTGGAGTGTATGCAAAGTAACATTCATGAAGAGATTCAGGAAACCAGCAGGCCGGACTTGATTCCTGGAGATGGGAAGTACAGTGATGGCACTGTAATGTTAATGTTGCAGTTTTATAACTGTAGTGTGAGCATACCTCTGGCAAGACAGTGATGGAGTGAATGATGATGAAAGTTTTTCTTTGTCGGACCATCCTGCCTTGGTGGGAAACGGCCGATGTGTTAATAAATAAAAAAATTATTGCATTATGAATCATTACAAATAATATGTGGTATTATTACTGTATTCATGAGTAATTGCTAAGACTGTCATACAGCACCTAGGAGGGATGGGAGAATCAGGTTGAGCTGAGAAAAGGGATGGTAGTTTAAACTCCTTGGATCAAGCGACCTTCTTCACCAGCATCAAGGTACCCCCTAAGGAGATTAATCTGTGGTATGGCTTAATACCATGACCCAAACAAATCATCATCTTTCAACAAAACAGCCATATCCCACCAAGGCAGGGTGGCCCAAAAAAGAAAAACAAAAGTTCCTCTGTTTAACTTCAGTAATGTATACAGGAGAAGGGGTTAAGCCAAACAAATTAATGTTATTCAACAAAATGAGTGCAATACCGTAATATGGGAACAATTTATACTGCAATGTCTGTTCACTCCTGGTAAGACAGTAACTGAATGATGATGTATGTGTTTCCTTACTTTGGGTAACCCTAACATGGTAGAGGATGGCCAATGTGCTATAAAAGAAATGAGAGGAATTGTATGGGTCACAGCCTGCCAGCCTACTGCACATTTGACATGAAATTTCAAACCAGAAATCTCAGAGTTCTAGGAATGTTAGAAGCTTCACTGTGACCCTTGATCATGTTTTACACAAATATTAGAGTCAACTCCAGCGTCAAGTTACACTTGCTTCTATGAACCTACATTCCTATCAGTATGAACTGAACTTTTAATAGAGATATTAAGAATATAACCATGCGTGTCGTAAGAGGCAGTTAAAATACCAGGAGCAAGGGGCTAGTAACCCCTTCTTCTGCATACATTACTAAAGTTAAAAAGAGAAACTTTTGTTTTTCTTTTTGGGCCACCCTGCTTCAGTGGGATACGGCCGGTTTGTTGAAAGAAGATTAAGAATATAACAAAGCATGGAGGGAGGAATGAATGTGCTTAGAACAAATGAGGAGAGTTTATTACCCCTATACCACTAACATTGCAGGGAATACCAACCAAAATTCACACAAGAGTCCTAGGATCCTTATAAGCCCCCAGTGCTGCTCCAGATCAGATGGTCAGAGACTACAAAAACTGTTATATAGTAAATGGTATACAGTACTGACAAGCTGAACCTAAAGGCACCCAAGTGTTGCACAGTTGTCTTACTCAACAATTAGAACACTGGCTGGAATTCTATTAATTTTGGTGGAGTAAAAACCTAGTAACATGCTCACCTCATGCTTGAGAGGCAGACAGCTCACAGCTTCCCTTCTTATATTATTACTGTGGTGTGAAATTTTCTAGTTTGTACTGAGAGAGAAGAATACAGGGTCACATAAGTAAATGCTACATGGCACCAGAGCTGGCATTGGTGCCATGGGAGAAAAGGGAGGAATCATGGATGATTATCAGATGTGAGACACTCATTACTACACCACCTAGTAATGGACTGATAAGTAGTAAAAATTAATGGAACCCTACAGTCATTCTGCACTTAAAAGAAATTAAAATAATAAAGATAAAATATCCAATAAAAAGTTAAATAATTCTGCAATTTCAAAATTTAATTATATTACTTTTAATACAGTATAGTTTCTTTGCATGAACTCTTATTTAGAAATATTATATATATATGTATATCAAAATTAGTTAGCTCACCAGTACCCTTCTCATTGGTATTCTCATGTGTGTTTGGAATATATGCAATCATGAATGCCACAAAACTGCAGCCTTGAATATTCATGTTGGCTGGGACTTTAAACTAGTTGCCAAGTAAAAATTTCTCTAGTACGTTACAAGGGCATTAAATTGAGAACATATACGCACTTGCCATTGATATTGTACATCATGCCAAGTTCCCAAATGAACATAAAGCTCTAGCCATGATGAATTAGGGATGAATCAATTGGGCAACATTGTTACTCACTCTCTTCTGTAGGTTTAGCAGATTCTTTTGCCTGATCCTCTTTGGAGTCCTTACGTGAGGCATCCTTGAGGCTCTTGCTCGACTGCCGCCTTTCTCGCCACTGTTCTCTCTTTCGCAATAAGCGCTGCTTAAAGTTCTCCAGGCTGTATCAAAAAAAATACAGGTTTTTAAATGTTTACTGAAACATTAGGGATTAGCATATATAGTACTGTATTGTATATGAAAGTAACAGTAGTGTAGCATATCGAACTTTTAAAGGAAAAAATAAACAGCATAATGCATATTACAAAATACGTACTTGCACATGCGGTTAGGAATCCAAAAAAATTATGAAAGATAATTAATACTGTAAATAATTCAAAGTAAAGTACTGTACTCATGAAATTGCAATAACATAATTGCAAACAAATAAAAAAATGGGTAGGACTCAAATCTATGGAAGCCACATTCTAAAACTCGCAGGTGAGTGTGCTGAACCAATGGTCAATTTACCATGGCAGACAAGTTTTAGGACTTGTTCTGTGATTTGATTTACAGTACTGTATGATAGTTTACTGAAATGAATACAAAAATATCTTTAATTGTTGCTACTCCACTCAACTGTAATAGTGCATGTTCAAAATCTTATCAATTACTTTTTTTCTGGTACAAAGTATTTAATGCTTTTAATTCAGGAGATGATATTTGGGTTAGTCACAAAGATTAGTGTGCTAAATGCCAATTTCAGGAAAAACTGCAGGAATAGCATGTGGTATACAGTACCTCGATATTCTTGTGTTGTAAGTACGGTACTATAAATATTAGCAATAACTATTCAAGGCACTTGTATATTCTCTAAAATAAATAGTGCTATACAATAATAGCCCTATTTAACTGCTTATATAGAAAACATATAGAGACTATCCACTGTCTACAGTAAAAACATCAAGCACCTAAATTACTAGGAGCACTAAAAATTCCTCTGAATTTTATGCCATGGAGCAAAAGTAAAAAATATGTCAATTCCTGAGTGACTGGTTCTAAATCTGCACTATGAAATAATGCACTCCCATCAAATATCAGTACATGTACAGATTAATTATCATCAGACCCCCCCCCCTACTTATCTTATAGAAAATATTTTACAAGTTGATCTAAGTAATAAATGATCAACAACATTACAGTTTCTACAATACATCAGAGAATGAATTGCCAACTGCCAACAAAAACAACCTGATTAATCACACCATCAATCAGGATGTCTCAATAAGTACAAAAGGTTCAATGGTTTCATAAGGCGAATTACTAACAGACCTTTAACTCACATCAAGAAGAAACTTGATAAGATAAAACAAAGTAATGACCACCTGGGTTGTGATGCTTATAATGGACTGCATACAGTTAAAACTAATAGCCTGACTGATTAGGTTATCACCCAAAAAGCAATGGTACGAGACTGGGCCACAGAGTTTTAATCCCCCTAACCATCACAAAGTAGATTATAGGTAGGATGGGACTAGGCAATATTGATAGCAGAGGCCTCAGTCCCAAAAAGTAAGGTAGTCCCAAAAAGAGGTGAAGGTGATGTTCAAAATTCAAACATTTATGCTCTCTATAAATGCATGGAGTAGCCTGAACTGGATTTCCCAAAATGTAAGTGAAAAACTGGCCCTAAGTTTGCAAGCCAAAATCACTTCCTACAGAAACAATAAGTTTAGCAGATGGTGCAAAATACCTCCAGTGTAAAAGGAGAGGTACAATGAGTACACTAAGAGAGAACTCAATAAGTGAAAGAAACCAAAATTTTTTATTACCCCTCCCTTCATACATATGGAAAATTATCAACAGACCCCCAGCTGTCTTCAAGAATATGAGAGGGTAAAAATTTTTAATCTGGCAATTAGGCATGCTAATGAAAATTTAATGTAATAAAACTCCTATGTTATGTAATCCATGCACAAAGTTATACCATACAGTATTTGTAATTTTGCTCATTCTTTTTTTTTTTTTAATACACACAGTAAAATAGTACATTTTTTCTTAAGCAACTACTGAATAATACAGCATTAAGATTCTGTTCAAACTCTAAATAAATGTGTTCATAAAAGCACCAGTCAGTGATATGGGGTTGATAAAATAATCAAGGTACAGAGCAACAGCTAGTTTTAAATTATTAGTTAAGATAGTTAAATATTCCTTACATTATTTGCATCAACAGTTATAAATGCAAGTGACTAATTTTTGCACACATTTCTAAAGTACAAGAGTCAAGGTACAAAATTATAATACGGTACCCTCGATTTAACAGACTGATAGGAGAAAGCAGGTGGCTGGTAATGGTGATTGTGGGGGATAGAGACGAGATTGTTTTGCCGTGATCGTAACAATAGTGGATAATTTTGTAACAAATAGACTGTTCGTTGTTTCTGAATCAACTGACCCTGCGGATTTTGTCCCATATTCCCGAAGTGCATTAAATCGAGGTCCATTAAATCAAGGGTATACTGTAATTAAAAAGTTAAATTTCAAAACACAAAAAATAGTAAAAAAACAAGGGGGGGAGGGGCCATATTAAGTCTTGTAAATGATTCCGGAAATGTTGCAAGCACACGAGTGAGAAAATATTGTAAAATATACATATATCAAAGTCATTCAAAAAATATGAGAGATTAATTTTGGATGACAACTTTCTCATACCAAATTTCCTGATAAATCATACAAAAATATTAGTGTAAAGATGTAGATAATTAGAAATAAGACACATTAGCAAATAAATAAGAAAAGGAAGAATGAACTTAAGAATCATGTAGATGTAGAAGTGAAGAAAGAACTTAAAAACTTTAAATAAAAATATGACAGTATCACATATCATCAGAAATAAAAATTGAAAGTAAAGTAATTACAAACTCACAGAAAATTGACTGGAGATACAATACTAAGGAAAACCAAATCTATTACTGGAAAATCCAAGTAAGGATAGAGAGAAGTGTAGTAAAAGGAAGATTTTGAATGCACAAGCACTGGAGGGGATAATGACTGGAAGGATTTTGTTTGTGAATACACCTTGCAATTAAAAACATTACAGTATTTAAAAATAAAATGAATGAAAAAGAGGAAAGAGAATGCTACTAGTGCAAAAGCCAATGAATAATGAAATTTTGGAGAACAGAAATGTAGGAACAGTACTGTATTATAAACAGAATTTGTTTACTATGAAAACAAGATGATATGTCAGAGACTTAGCTTATATTCTTACTCTGAAAGTAAGAATATAAGCAAAGCAACTCGTATAGCATTTTGATAATGCTGCACCATTTATAAAAGCACCACTTTCATGGATCATGGGCAATTGGCCAGCATTAAGACACTCCACTGAAGGGGAGGCAGAGGGGAGTGTATAACTATGGTCCACTCCTCTACCATATTTGTAAAGATATAAGTTGGATAAGGGAAAGAAATCTGTTGGACAGCAAGTGCAAGAGTTCAAAAGTGGTGATTGGAGCAATAAATGATAAAAAAAATGGTTTGCTCAAAAGCAAATGGATGGACCACATTTCAGACAAAATGTCAGTATTATAATCAAAAAGAAGGGTCTCTGAATGAATAGCAATTTTTTTTTTTTTGTAAGCTCAAATTACTGCATCTTTAACCCCATGTTGATGACTTTCCAAAATAAACTGGAGAACATTCATCCCCTATGAAATTTTATTTCAGTACAGGTACTCCTCACTTAATGACCTACCTGTTTAATGAATTTTGAAAATCGGCCAAAAATGGTGAAAAACACTAAACTGTAGTTCAGGGATTTTTTGAGGCAAAAAAACTTTTCCTCTCAGCTTTCATTGATGGTTATGAGAGAAAGGCGTAGAATTAGGGGGATATGATCGAGGTGTATAAATGGAAAACAGGAATTAATAAAGGGGACATAAATAGCGTGCTAAAAATATCTAACATAGACAGGCCTCACAGCAATGGCTTTAAATCGGAAAAATTCAGATTCAGGAAGGATATAGGAAAGCAATGGTTTGGTAATACAGTTGTGGATGAGTGGAACAAACTCCCAAGTACCGTCATAGATGCTGAGACGTTGTGTAGTTTTAAAAATAGGTTGGATAAATAAATGAGTGGGTGCGGGTGGGTGTGTGTTGGACCTGACTAGCTTGTGCTACTAGGTCGGATGCAGTGCTCCTTTCTTAAGTGACGTGTCTGACCTCACTTGGTCAAGGCATTGGCTTAAGCCGGTGGGAGAATTGGAGCTGCCTCGCATAGACCAGTAGGCATGTTGCAGTGTTCCTTCTTTCTTATGTTCTTATGAGGGCAAATATTCTATTAGTGGGATGGATTTGTGAAGGACCTGCTTAGTATGAGCCAACAGGCCTGCTGCCGTGTTCCTCCTTTCTTATGTTCTTAAATGTGCAGTAAAAAGTGCCTCAGATGGGAAAGAAACAGACGAAAGAAAACAGCCTTGTATCATGCTAAGACTGTCTCTTTTCAGTTATTTTTAGGTATTTTTCATGATTTCTAGTTCTTTTCTGTAATGAATAGTCTCAATGAAAATATCAGCTTCCTCCCTTAGGAATTACCTGGAAATTAAGGCCTCATATGATGCTAAAATTATCTAATTTTACATTTTTAAGTGTATATCCTGAATCAGCATAGAAAATAGTATACCTGATGTGATTTTAATGAATTTTGAAAATCCGGCCGAAAATGGTGAAAAAATACTGAACTATAGTTCGGGGATTTTTGGGGGTGAAAAAACTTTTCCTCTCAGAATGGAAAATGGCCATGACGACACTGTTTCTTGGATCAATTTATCCCCACAAACATGAAAAAATCCTGAGTTGTATAAGTTAAATGTGCCATAAAAGGTGCCTCAGACAGGGAAGAAACCAGTGACAGAAAATAGCCTTGTATCATGCTAAAATTCTCTTTTCAGTTATTTTTAGGTATTTTTCATGATTTCTGTAATGAATAGTCTCAATGAAAATATTAGCTTCCTCTATTAGGAATTACCTGGAAATTAAGGCCTTGTATGATGCTAAAATTATCTCCTTTTACATTTTCAAGTATATATTCTGAATCAGCATAGAAAATAGTACACCTGATGTGATTTTAACGACCACTCGAACTTATGACCAGCTCTCCAACCAGTGAACTGTAT